AGAGGTTATCTTTTTAAAAATTATTTTCCATCCTAATAATTCTGATTGTGTATCCTTTTTCTACTTTATTATGATTATTTCTTAAAGGTTTAGGGTTGAATAGTTTTTGTTTTTAGTTTGGTAACAAAAGTTTACAATGTTGTGAGTTGTCTGTAAAGAAATCTGGCCATAGCATATAGCTTTTACAGTATGTAGTGTTTCCAGCATTATTATTTTTTCTGTATTTTGGGGAAGGGTCTGCAGAGTATTCAGGGTCTCACTGCTAGATCAGTAGGAGTTGGGATTATAGGCATGCCACCACACCCAGTCTCAGCTGCCCTCTCAGCCTACCCCCAGGGGTGGGGCTGGCACGGCAGGCCCAGAAACCAAACCCCGTCTGTGCCTGCTTGTAGGCACTTTAATCCGCATTATTTTTGACTGCTTGTAGTGATAGTTCTGATTTTTCTCAGTCTTCATTGGCTGTCTTCGTTTCTTGGTGGTGTTTCAGGTCTCATGGTACAGTCATGCTTTAGCTGTTGGCCCTTCTCTTGCAGTCCCCTCCATGTGTGCGTTTTACTTTAGTTTTGCTTCTGTAGCACTAAGGTCTCTTAAACCTACCCCCACCCCAGTTCCATCCCTCTTTCATTTTAGGCAGGGTCTTACTGAGTTGCCCTAACTGGGTTGGACCTTTTGACCCTTTGTCAAAGCCACCAAGGGTACTGGGATGGCAGCCCGGCACTGCCATGCCTGGCCTCTTTCATGGTTTTATTTATTTTATTTTATGTTTTATGTATTTGGTATAGTGTCTAACGATGCAGCTCGAACTCATAGTGATCCTCCTGTTTTCAGCCTCCCTAATGCTGGGATTACAGGCATGTGCCACCACGCCCAGTCTTGGTGGCCTGCTCAGAGTGCCTGGGTGTTGGGCTGGCATGGCATGTGGTGCTGAGGATTGAGCCCTAAACAGTGCTAGTCCTATCATGGTTTTAAAAAATCTTTTATTGGCATATGTTTGCAGTGCATAATATTTACACTCATTTCGAGAAATTGGTATGCACAGTGTTCCTGTCCTTTTAGTACCTGTTCAGGCGTATGGCTGAAGTGTGTTGTTCTAATTTGGGGCCAGTCTCTCTCTCTCTCTCTTTTTTTTTAATGTTTTATTTATTTGTGTATGTGTGTGTGTGTGTGGCCAGTTCAGCCCACCAGGGGGCGGGGCTGGCTGGCATGTGGTGCTGGGGGATTGAACCGCGGTCCCTGTGCTCTTTTGCTAAGCTTGTTCTAAGTAGGTGCTTTAGACCACTGAGCCATCTCACCAGCCCTCTCTTTTTTTAGGGGTACAGTCTTGGTTAGTTTTTGGCACAGTACACCTTGTTGATACAGTGATGCAATTTTTGCTGATTCTACTGTATAATATTGTAGTTGTATATGCTGTTGTATATTACACCACTACATGCAAGTTACAGAGATTTTTTTGTTCTGAATATTGTTATACACATAGGATATTCAAGTCCTCAGTTAGTGACCAATTCACTGAAACAACCTGGCCATTCAATAAGGAATGTCTATATATATAGTCTTTTTTAAAATTTAAATGTAGTTAGTACAGGGGCTACAAGGTCTCACTACACAGACTTATCTCGAGATCCTCCTGTTTTCAACCTCCCAAGTGCTGGGATTACAGGTGTGCGCTACCATGCCCAGTCTTAATTGCAGTCTCTGCACGCCCTGGAGGTGAGGCCAGCATGGCACGCCAGGGATCAGACTCCGGCCAGTGTGCTCCCAGCCTTATGTTGTGTCTTGATCATCTTCCGTGATCTTCCATATTTGATCCAAGTCCCCAAAGGCTTCAGTCCTGCCTCTCCCCACCCTCCTCCTGATCAGCAGTACCCTCACACCCCTACCATGCTCAGCCCTAAATCTGGTGAAGGGCTCACCTGTTGGCAGCTTGGATCATTTAGGGTCAGCGAGGAAAGAGTGTGAGCATAGGGTGTGGGTGCAGGAGGTGCCCCAGGATCTGTGTTCTCTCCTGGGTCTATCTACCATCCTGCATTCCTACCCAGCAGGACCAGTTCCAGCAGAGTATCCTTGTGCAGAGTGGATAGGTAAGGTACGAAATTCCTTGGGTCCTAGAATTGGGTCCTGGAATTCCCTTGGGCCATCCTCCCCCTCCCTGTCTGGCTCCTTTGCACCTTGTGGAGAGGGTGACAGAAAGTCAGTTTATTTTTTTTATTTTTTAGGGAAGGGTCTACAGGGTGTTCAGGGTCTCATTACTAGATCGGACTCACAGTAATTCTGCTGTTTACAACCTCCTAAATGCTGGGATTACAGGTGCGTGACCAGTCTCAATTGCAATCTCAGTGTGCCCCTGGGGCGGGGCCTACACAGCAGGCCCGGGGATTGAACTGAGCTATTTGGCTGGCTTTGCACTTTTTTGTTTTGAAGGTGTTGCCTTTCTTCCTGATGATAAGGCTTGATGACGCTGGATGACTATGTGCTGATTTGCATGGGAAGAATGGCCCAGAGGGATGAAATGTTCTCTTGTGCTTCTGGGGCCCTCTGACCAACTAAAGAGCAGGAATGGGAGGGGCTGGACTTGTTTTCACTGTGATTCAGCACACACTTTTACACATTTGATGATGGCATGTAGCAGTTGTCACTTCTCTGCTTCTGTAGGTTCAGTGCCCAGGGGCCTGCCAATTAAACTAGTAAAAGACATGTTAACATGGGGGGAAAGAGGAGACATTTGCTGGAGGCAGCTAGTCTTGTATGTCCTCTTCCTCTCCAGGAAGGGGAGGGTGTGACACTGACCTTGGGCTCTGCTTTTGGGTGCTTGCTTCCAGAGAAGAAATAGGTCAGGGCATCCTGCTGGGGTTCCCTGGAAGGCAGAAGTAGGCAGGTTACAGGATTATTTTATATCCTTGGTAGGTAGGTACTTACTTCCCCAGTAGGTGGATACGGGAAGAAAGGAGGGTGGAGCTTTGAAATGCTGAGGGACAAGGACGAAGTCACTTGGGCCTTACTTCCCAGTGGCCCTGCGATTCTAAGTCAGCAGAAGATTGAGTCCCAAGGTGAGATTGTACCATTAGCTGCTGAGGAGGAGAGGCTGTCATGACCTGAGGCTCTTGGTGGTCCCTCGGAGAAACAGCCGGGGGATTTAGAAAATAAAGAGGAGAAATAGGATTGAGGTCAGGTGGAAGCCTCTACCTAATGGGAAAAGAGGACTGAAAAACAATAGTAGAGGCATTTATTTATAGCTTTGAAAAGTTAGTGTCTGGAGACCCAAGTTGCCTAGCGACTAGTGACTGACATTGTCCAGGCAGGATGCTTTTTGCAAGACTGATGCAGCTTGACTGCTTTAGGCACTGTGGCCTTGTTTTGCCCTCTCACATAGGACCAGTTTCCTGCCTCAGCTGCTCCCAGCAGGAGGCTTTGCTGGGGCTTCCCTCCATGCTCAGGATTCACAGCTGAGTCCCGCTGAAGCCTGATTCAGCTCGGAGTGGAAGTAGAAATCAAAAGTTCTAAAGCCTCTGAGAGAACAGGGAAAACCAACGTAGATTTTCTGTGTCAGTCAGGAAGAAACTAGTCTTGTACTTTATTTCTAGCCCTCAGACAGAATGGTTTTGAAGTGCCTAGAAGGAGTGACACACCTTCACTAGCAAGCTGGTGTTACAGAAACCTGCACACCAGCACCTTCAGGAATGGAAGAAGCACTGCAAAATTCTGCCCGTGATAAGAAGTATTCGTGAAGTCAGAACTGGGCAGCATCCAGCCTTCTCAAGGTCAAGGCAGGTGCCATGCTGGACGAGGACCAGCTTTACACCTGTCGGGTAGATCCCAAGCCTGTTGTCCCCACTCTCTGCCTCCACCTGAGCCTGAACTCTGCCCCATGTTTCGGTGATCCAGGGCAATGAGAAGTTTGAGAAACAGTTCTGTGTATTTGAGCCTGGATTTTTTCATTTGGCCTGTTTTAGGATTAACACAAAACAGATTTTAATTTAAAATGTAAGAGAATTTCTTTCACAGATGTAGTATATGCACCAGTGCCTCCCCAGAGTGTGTATTCAGTCTGTGTGTAGTTACCTTTCCTTGGGCACAGAGGTGTCCCCAGCTCAGGTGTGCTGTGTGCAGGAGGCAGTACGGAGAAGGGAATCCAGTGCTAACACAGGTGTTGTAGGCTGTTCAGGGCTTGGAGAGGGAAGGCAGGTGAATTTTCCTGACTTGGGGACCTACAAAAACAAAAGGTCTGGGAAACTAGAACACATTCCAGAGCTAGCCTAACTCTTGTCTGTGCTGGGAGGACCACAGGGAGCTCCAGGGACTCTATTGCTTTTCTTTTGCTTTTGTCTTCTTAGTGAAGACACAGCTACTGTAAAGTATGGAGTAAGCAATAAAGGTGCTGCTTTAAGGACAGGGGGGCATTGCTTCAGAGACCTCCTTGGGCACCCAGACCCACAGATGAAAGAGAACCCCAAAGGCATGAGGGGCTGAAAGGACACATGCTATTGGACCAGGCCTGCTTTTCTGGACAGCTCCCTGGAGGGAGAAAGTAACGAGCCTTCACAGGTGCTAGAAATTGGCTGCCTTTTCTGCACAGCAAGTAGATTGGGGTGCCACATTGGATGACCTACTTCCGGGAGCATGGCATTGCCCTCCAGGCCTAGCACGCACTCAGCTGCTAGTGGAGGACAGGAGGTGCCTTGCTCCTCCTTGCTGTGTGCTCCAAGCTATGCGCTCCTGCTGGACTTGACTCGGCTGCAAGTTCTCAAACTCTGCTTTCTCTGAGGCTCATGACGACGGTGGTCTAGAGATGTTCTTGCCCCTCTGAGGCTCTAGTCTGTAGCAAGGGCCCTGTCCGACATTGCTGCCTCCTGAGCTGTTGGAGGAGGTATTTGTGGTGGTCCTTAACCTATTTCCTTGCTGACTTGATCGAGTTCATGATGCTTTATAGAACCAAAATAGCACGATGTACTCTAGGGTTCTATTTTGCAAGTAATTCCATGTTTTTTGTTTTTGTTCTTTAGGATACGAAGTTGTGGATAATAATGGAGTATCTTGGTGGCGGCTCTGCACTGGATCTGGTAAGTAGTGTATTGGGTGTGGCCCCCACCTAAGACTTCTCCCTCAGTCTAGGTTTGAAAGATGATTCTATATTCATTACTTTTCCCTCTTCTAAGTGACACAAAAAGGAACCAAATTTTTCTTCATGTAGTTTTTCTTCTTATATATTACTGAAAATTATAGGCCCGCCTTTAAAATTAGTGGGTGGTGTTTTTTTTATTTTTATGAGAGGGGTCAGTCAGATAGCTAAGCAGAGCGCAGCTGCTGGGGTTTGATTGTTGGCTTGCTGTGCCACCCCTGGCCCCGGGGTGCAATGAAATGGCAGTTGAGACTGGGCGTGGTGGCGCACACCCGTAATCCCAGTGCTTGGGAGGATCAAAACAGGAGGATTGCTGTGAGTCCAATCTATGTAATGAGACCCTGTAGACCCTGTACTAAATACATTTTGAAAAAAAGAAAATAAAAAAAAAAATAAATAAAAGAACTATGTTTTATGAGAAATGGATAAATTCATTCGTGGAAGCAATGAGGGATTTTGCCCAAAACCCTTTCTTACTTAAGTACAGTTGGTTAGCTTATTTTCCAGAATCAGCTTTTAGGTTTTGTAGAACTGATAACATCATGGCTTCACATTTTCATGTTTTGGATGGTAATTTAACTTCCAAAATAAATGTATCCCCTTTTCATCTCCAACATAAGACACAGGCAATTATCAGGGTGTGACATCAGGTCTTAGAACAGGGGTCAGGCAAGGAGTTGGATGGACACCTTTGTCTCTTGCCAATGTGCACATGGTGTTGGGATGAACTGGCTGGGGCCAGGTGGTCTCTCCCCCTGTGGCCCTGCCCTGGATGCCTGCCCAGTTCCTGGCCTCATAGAAGCTGGTGGAAGCTGGGAGTGCATAGGCTGTCACGGAAAACATGCCTTGAGCCAGGCTTTCAAGTGTTCCCACGTAAGCTGCATCTGTGAGCATGCTGTGTCCTCTGAAACATAGGATGTGCAGAAAGTAATTTTTTAAGAAAAGGTGCCACAGGGCCGGCGAAGTAGCTTAACAGACTAAGCACCTGCTTAGGCAAGCGCAGGGAAGGAGTTTTTTGGTCACTTTCTCCTGTGGCTGAGAAAAAATACCTGACTCCCAAAGTTAAAGGTGGAAAGGTTTAGCTCTCAGTTTGTAGAGGTTTTATTCTATAATCATCTGGCTTCAGCCAGGGTGGCACATGGCAGAGAGGCAATAGTTCATGACAGCTGAAGACACAAGATACACACATAGCATGGAGAGCATCAAGGCCACCAGCTTTAGGGTGGGTGAAACACTCACAGCTTTATTTCCAGCATCGGACCACGGATCAGCCACAAACTAGGTTCAGCCATTCCTGAAAACTATCCCCATAAGGCTGCATGAGCCTTTGGGGGACATCTTAATGCAAACTGTAGACTATGTGTATCTCCAGAAAGACAGTATACCTTAATTTAGAAAATTACATACTGTTATAAACCATATAGAGAAAGTCAAAAGGGTTAAAAAGAAATGCAGTATGTTATAAACAATGACATTAAAGTATGTGTGGGGGAACCCAACTGGATACTTTTTTTGGTCCTTCTTTGGTTTCTTTCCATAAATAAACACATTATACAAAAAACTTTTCATTTCTTCACTCTTGGGAAACACTATAAGAATGGAGAAAATTACCTCATTTAGTGTAATTAGAGTTACCATTAAGTGAGCTTAATTTGTAGTACACATGCAGTTGTTTGTGGAGACTTTTTCTTTCCCTATGCTGAGTTCTCCAGAGCAGCAATTCTAGTTTCAGAGTGCTTCAGTGTGATTCATTGTCAGTGCTGTAGTAATTTAATTTGAGTGATTTGGTGTGAGTGTAGTTTTAGACATCATTCTTAGCAGGAGGTTTGGAGTTGCTAGCTGTGGAAACTGCCTGCCCTTCTCTGACCTCCTACTTTGTCTTCTTCTCTTTCATCCCAACCCCTAGAGTTTCAAAGTGGAGGACACACTTTAATTATGGGATATAGTAGGGTTTTTTTTTTTCTTTTTTTTTTTTTGTATTTAGTACAGGGTCTCACTATATAGCTTGGATTCACAGTGATCCTCCTGTTTACAGCCTCCCAACCACTGGGATTATAGTCTCATGCCATCTCGCCCAGTCTCGGTCACTGTCTCAGCATGTGCCGAGGCTGGGGTTAGCACAGCAAGCCCAGGGATCGAACCTCCGGCTGCTGTGTCTGCCTAAGCAGGAGCTTTAATCCAATGAGCTATTTGGCTGGCCTTAGTAGTTATTTTTTTAAATGTTGGAAACCCTATTAGGATTATTTCGAAAAGGTCTCCTATATATTTACAAAAGGTCTTAAAACCAGAATATTATCATGTGTAAAAGTGTGATGCAATGTAGCTGAATAAATGGACTTAAGGGCCATATCTTTGAAAAATTCTAAGTAGGTTTTGCTTATGTATGCTAACAGGCATGTTGCTAACATGTGCCTTTGTGGGAGCTCCTTGTCAAGGGCCTCCTGGGGAAGGACAGCTGTGTCTCTTGTTTGGAGAGCCTGCTCCACCAGTCCCTGAGCACAAGGGTCTCTCCACAGTGGGAATCTCTGCAGGTTGCAGTCTGCTCAGAGACCTGGCAGCCATCCTCACCCCGTCCTGTCCCTGCTCTGGAGCACATGTCACACGTACCCATATGGGCTCCACACGCATGCTGTGTCATACGCAGTGCCCTTCGTTCTTTGTGTAGCTGTCGTCCTGTTACCTGTGCCGTGAAACCTATGTGTGCTCCCTTCTGTTGGGTCTTGGCCAGGACAGGAAGCTGGCCCCCCTCCTTCCCCCAGGATGCCCTTTGAGCCTGAGCGTGGATTCGGGAAGCTTCCCTTTGGTTCCAGTGGCAAGGTTCTGGGGAGCCAGGCTCAGATTGGCACAGACTTGCCAGGACATTTCTTCAAGGGGAGCTGTGGGTACTTTGGAGGTAGACAGGGGATTGTCACGGACCACTTTTTGTGTTCCTGTTTTTTTTATAGCTGAACCACAGAGCCCTGGTGAGTGTTAGCAGCAGGTGTTAGACCAGGGACTGAACATGGGAGGCTCCAGTTGTACAGACTGACAGGGTCCCTATAGAGCAAGTAACTTTACTCCAGGTTAAAGAAGGGTGAGCCTCAGACCAGGTGGCAGGCTCTGGGGTCTTTTCTTCTTCTTGGTATTGAAATAAACCTTGGGCCCTTTGTAGGGAGACAGAGTGCAGTTATTCTGTCAGTTTGGCATTAACTCAGATCTACTTAGATGAATTCTAGAGGTTCCATCCTGTGGATGGACTGCCCAGGGCAGGACATACACGTAGCCTTAGCTACTCGGAGGTACCAGGGCCGATTGAGGCTCTGTGCCCTGTGAACCCTCTTTTCTTTTCCTACTGTTGCCTGCTTTTTGACTTTTGAATGATGTAAATTTAGAATCTATCATGAGGGACAAAGAGATGCTATAGTTCAGTTATTAAGAGCCGTGAATATATTTTGAGTGTACCCACCTGGATGTGCTCAATCTCTGTGTGTGGGGGCTGTATTGTAATTGAAAAGAAATTAAATAGTAAGTGGAATGTTGGTAGGATTCCCCAAACCACTATGAAGAAACCCTTAGTTCTTCAGAATACAGTTTGGAAGCCACTTGTGTGATTAGGCTCTCAAGTTACAGCTGCATACAAAAGACCCCAGGCTCAGGAGAGTATGATTTAGTGTGCAATTCAAGACATTCTAACTTCCAGAATGGTAAGAGTTGGTAGCCCAGCGAGTGAAACCATTCCAACCAGAAAATCTGTAGTGCATGCCCCCTGCGTGTCTGGTTGGCCCAAGCCCTGGGGAGTTCTGGAGTCCTACTGTTAGGGAGCTGCATGGCCAAGTGTGTCACCATGTGTTAGAAGGAGTTCAAGGAAGAGCAAGCGGGTGGAGGGCTTTGGGAGAGGTTAGTGAGGATTGGCAAGAGGACCTTTGACAAAAAGGTTTTATCCAGTTAGTGGGTCAGTTACTATTGCTAGAGAATCTAAGGGACAGAAACGTTGCTACATAAATCCATTGCTTGATTAGGCAGAGATGTTTGATAAACTTAAAAACGAATACATAGCTCAATTTTGGGGAAAAAAATGCAGGGGTGCCTTCAGGTAATGTTTAGGTCAAGCTGGTTTGTCACAGTGCTAAACCAAGGCAGAAATGGAGCTCTGCCGTGTGTGGAGTCACCCTGGCTTCTCTCAGTCCTCAGCCTCCACCCTCCACCTGCCCATATTCCACACTGAGTTGAGGAGGGCCTTGTGTCATGGGTGCTCATGTTCTACAAGCTGCTGCTGCAGGGCCTGGGGCTGTGGTCTCCAGGGGGTTGTTGGTTGTACCCAGCTGGTGGTCCTCATGACGAAGAAGGGGAGAGAGAAGTGGGGGAAGGGATTAGCAGTCACCTGTGGATCAGATGTAGTCCCTGTTTTTTCATGTTACAAATTCTTGAAATACTCAGAATCTTTTTTTTTTTTTTTGGCGGAACCGGGGATTGAACTGAGACCCTCGCGCTTGCCAGGCAAGCGCTTATTCTACTGAGCCATCTCCCTGGCCCCTGCTCACAATCTTTTTTTTATTTATTTATTTATTTTTTTTTTTATTTTAACATTTATTTTGTGTGTGTGTGTGTGTGTGTGTGTGTGTGTGTGTGTGTGTGGCCAGCTCAGCCCACCAGGGGGCGCGGCTGGCTGGCATGTGGTGCTGGAGGATTGAACCGCGGTCCCTGTGCTTTGCCAAGCTTGTTCCAAGTAGGTGCTTTAGACCACTGAGCCATCTCTCCAGCCCCTGCTCAAAATCTTAATGATAAAATCCAACATGGATTTTATCTCCTGACCAGCAGTTGCAATGACAGAATTAAGCCCACCCAGCTTGAACAACTCTAGGAGTACTTGTTACCATGAGTTTGACAGCTATGTTAGGGTTCTCTGGAGAGACAAAACCAACAGGAGATGGATTGAGGAGAGGGGATTTATTGAGGAAATGGCCCATGTGATTGTGGAGGTGCAGTAGCCCACGTAGGTGGTCTGCAAGCTGGAGAGCCAGGGATGTCTGTAACATGGCTCAGTCCAAGTCCAGAGGCCAGAGAATGCGGAGTGCAGATGTCGAGGGGCAGGAGGAGGTTTACAGCTTCAGAAGAGCAGGCCCTCAGCAGTGTGGCTGTGGCCCCCCCACCTTGGCGGGAGGTGGTTTCCTTGGTCCTGTGACTCAGATACCAGTATGGAAGTACCCTCTTAGGCACACTCAGAAATAGTGCTTTTCAGCCAAATCCACACCCACAGTGGACCGTCACAGGTACCTTGATGGATTTCTATCCCCGATAAAATCCTTAAGTTCTCTGCAAGGTTCTCCCTCCCATAAATCGGTGGTGGTGGTGACGGGGTTCACACCAGAACTAAGAAGGTGTGGCTCCGCATGCTGCCAGCTTTCAGTCAGCTGGGGGGATCTATAGCGCCTTTTCCTGTTCTCCTCAGTGCTGCTCTGCCTGTCTGTCTGAGGGCTCAGTGGCAAGAATTCTTCCTGAAGGGGGAAGCCCAGGCTGGCCCAGGGCAGCCGGCTTTTTTGTGGTGTCACTGGGTTTCCTCGTTTTGTGACACTGAGAATAGGAGCGAGCATCCCAGCACCGCTGCCCTTGGGGATGAGAGAAGTGCGTCTTTCTTGTGAAATGAAACTTGTGCATTGAACACTGAAAAACAAGCATGAAGAAAGCAGAGTCATTAGACGACAGCCTGTCCCACACCTGGTCTTTACTGTCAACTTGGAAAACACTCTGGAGGAACATACAGTGGAGAAATGAGTCCAGCCCCTTAGACACCTGCTCCTCCCCTTGCGCTGTGATGAGGCCTTCATGGCACTTCAGGTTGTGCTGGTGGCGTCTGTCATTGTAGCTTGTGATTGATTCCTGTCTGCGAGTGCTGGTGGGCATGCTGCTGTCTGATGTGATGGCACTTTAGCTCCGCTTCGAATCTTTCTTCTGAGTGGGGATACATCTGTCGTTTCTTCATTACGCCTTTGTAAGAGCCGAGACTTAAGGAGTCAGTAATAAAAGTTTCTCAGTAAAAATTTCCAGAGGCAGTTGTTACCTCAGTAGGAATAATTTTTATAAAATTTTTTTTAGTGGAGCTGGGGATTGACCTCAGACCCTTGTGCTTGGCAGGGAAGTGCTTATTCTATGGCACCATCTCCCTGGCCCCAGGAATAGTTTTTATTATTTAACATATGTACTCTGTAACAAATCCCAAAATGTTAGGAATTGAATTCTATATCTTGGAGAGGCGGAGCTTTAAAATAGAGATTTACAAATTCGGGTGCAGCAGTAGCCTCAGGAATGGATGGGTTCATTGGCCTTTTCTTTCTGAGAAGTTGTGCTTTGGTTATAGGAATGAACCTTCTGGTATGGTAACACTAAGTAGATGAGGGCAGATCCCACACTGTGAGTTTCTGGACTCTTGTCTGTTAGATTTAGGGACCCTGGGCCAGGTGGTGATGCTCACAGGCCTGCTTGCAGGCTGCAGGTGTAGTGGCCAGGGCTTCTTCACGGGCAGCACGGAATTGCAGCTGATCTTGCTTCATTCTGCAAAGCTATTTTTTCTTGTTCTGTTTTTTTGAAAGGGTGCTTTAATAGAATTTAATTATTTATTTATTTCTGCAAAGCTTTATTCCGGAGGGGCTCAGTCCTTCTTGGCAGCTGCCTTCCTCATGGCGGCCAGCACGTTGCTCAGCTCCTCACTCTTCCTATTGGTGCGAATGTGTGACCCCACCCTTTTCTAGATGAACTTGTGGGCGCGCTTGTCCTTGGAGACCTTGAGCAGCTCCATGGCGCGCTGCTTGTAGGGGGTGAAGCCGCACACCTTCCGGGTCATGTCCCACACGAACTTGGTGTATTTGGTAAGGTGTCCACGATGGCAGCTGTGCCTTGGTTTGCTCACATTCTTAGTCACCTTGTGGCCCTTGTTGAGGCCCACGGCCATGGGATAGCGGAGGGCCAAGGCTACTCTTCCTCGATGGTTGCTGTGGTGGAAGAATAGAGTTTAATTATGTAGACAAAATGCCTGCTTTAAGTGAACATGTTTTAAAATGTTCCTCATCCTTGTGCATTTAATGAGGATATCGCCATGCCTCCCTCTGTGTGTAAGACAGTCAGTAATTGTAACACTCCCTTTTGTTTGTCTGTTAGTTAGAACCTGGTCCTTTAGACGAGACTCAGATCGCTACCATATTGAGAGAGATCCTGAAGGGACTCGATTACCTGCACTCAGAGAAGAAGATCCACAGAGATATCAAAGGTAAGAACACTGTGCACTTTTCTTTCTGTTAAAGTACCGGAGGTGTTGGAGCTAAACTTCAGTCGCAGGGAAGTTGTTCTGGAAGGGCCAGGAGAGAATGCATGTGCTTCCCGGTGCTGGGCACTCTGCAGTGTGGTGACTGAGGCTGGTGGTGTGACTTTTTTTCACAGCGGCCAATGTTCTGCTATCTGAACATGGAGAGGTGAAGTTGGCTGACTTCGGAGTGGCTGGCCAGCTGACTGATACCCAGATAAAGAGGAACACCTTCGTGGGTACCCCTTTCTGGATGGCGCCCGAGGTCATCAAACAGTCAGCCTATGACTCAAAGGTAAGAAACAGTGTGCCATCCTTGAGTCCTGCAGCCCTTTGCTGGCACCTGCAGGGCTCCTGGAGGTGACTCTCCAGCCTCCCTTTTTCTGGCTGTGTCCTTCACCACTATTGCTGATGCAGCGTAGCCATGGTTTTGGCTACCTGTGTGTTCAGGGTGATGGGCGGAAGATGTTGTGTGCAGGTACAAGAGGACCACAGTGTGAGCACAGCCCCCCAGCAGCAAGCAGCAGAGGCTGAAGGCTGCCACAGGTACACAGGAGGGGGAGCCTTGAGCAGAGGGGACGAGCTGCAGGGAGAGGCCTCGGCAGGGCAGAGTGTGGGGAGAGTGTGCTCTGAGCACTCTGGATTCCACCTCCCAGGTTATTTTTAGCTCTCAGTTAGGATCCTCACTCCAGGAGCCTCCTTATCAACTTGAGGCACAATGTCACCTTTCTTCTGATTGCTTGCACTTGCCAGTTCTTTTTTTCCCTGTTGCCCTTCAGCTTGATGTTCCTGGTAGTATAGGTTATAAATCTTAGAGACTCTTTGTCTCTTATTTTCTGATAACTTCCATTTTCTGATCTGTTCTTCTCAGTTGACTGTATGTAGTAAAATTGCACCATCCACAGAGAATTGGTTCTTGTGAGCCACAGTTTTCTAAGCAAACAAGGTGGCAAGGATTTCCTCGCATAATGTAGTGTTGGCTTTTTAATTTATTTATTTATTGTGTGTGTGTATGTGTGTGTGTGTGTGTGCGCGGCCAGCTCAGCCCACCAGGGGGCGGGCTGGCTGGCATGTGGTGCTGGGGGATTGAACTGCGCGGTCACTGTGCTTTGCTAAGCTTGTTCTAAGTAGGTGCTTTAGACCACTGAGCCATCTCACCAGCCCAGTGTTGGCTTTTTAAATGGAACCCTTTTGGTGTGTAGGAGAATTCTCATCTCCTGAAATGGTCCAGGAAGCATGAGGACATTTTCCATCGGGAGACAGAGGGTCACCATTGCAACCATTGGCCTTTGTAGTGCATTGGTTTGGCCCATGGGGCAGTATCTCTGGTTCTGGCTTGGGAGAGGTGGGCCTGTTGTCTTGCTTGTAAGTAGTGGTGGCCGTGACTTATGTGAAAATCTAATGGCCTTGGGAGCTGAAGAGCATCCCCTCTCCACAAGCCAGTGGGCCTTCTGGGGTGAAGCTCCCAGGAGCTGTGTGGGTGCCGCTGCCCTGTGCTGATGGGCTCCCTCTGCAGGTGTGCTCCTCTGGAGGCCCCAAGTTCAGGACAGAAGGACTGAGCAGGAGTGTGTTCAGCCCTTTTTCTCCATTTATCAGAGCTCATATATCCACATTTCAGTATGGCAGAGACTGGAATCCAGTTCTTAAATCCATTTGATTACCCAACCCTGAATGTTCTCTTCCCCATGTTCATAGTAATTATAATTAGTTGGCTGTCCATGCCACACATTATGTGGGATTTAGTTTGTACTTTTTTCAGTTCTGCCCATCACTCCTACTTTGGAGTTTTTCTTTTAAAAGCTCCCTTGGCGCTTTCCACTTTGATCCTGGTTTGAAGCATCTCTGGTCCTTTGTGTGGCTCTGAGCATTTGAAAGATCTGCCAACCTCCTTGCTGGAGTTCTTGCCTTAGCAGCCAGTGGCTGGCGTCAAGGATGTGGAGCTGCTGGCCCACACCTGCAGGAGTGTGCGCTTTTTTAGAGGGGAAGTAGTGTAAGAAAATGTGTCCCCCTTCTTTCTAGCCTTCTACTATTCCACCTGTTACTCTGCTTTGTCAAAAAGCACTTGCCCAGTGATCATTAAGGGAAATCGTGTGTGAAATTGTGTTTGCTGGCTGGGGAGGTATAGCCGCTGCAGATTAGGACAGTGTTGGTGTCTTAGTTTTGAGGTTTTCAGGAGTGGGGTTTCTTGAGTGGGGCCTTCATGAGAAGTCTCTCCCTGTACCCCCATGGGTATGGGGTATGGCTCTGGCCAGCAGCTGTCATCTAGGGCAGCGCTTGGGGAGCCTGTAGGGGAGCTGTAGTCTCTTGAGGATCAGGTGTCCCCCACTTCTTTCCAGTGCCCCCTTTATGGATCCTGGTGCATACTCAGAGGCTTCTTCCTGCCTGTGTCTGCATTGCAGGTACAGAGAGCCATCTTTGCCGGGCTCGCAGGCTTCCGTCTGCCCCAGGCTGCTTTCTCTTAGTGCACGATGAGTCTCAGAGGCAAGGAGAGTGCACCAGCCTCACGAGGCCGCATTTTCCTCCCCCTGAGCTGGAGGATGCAGGCACACCCCCTTCCTGGAGCCTTGACAGCTTTGCTTACAGTGATAACCTGAGCCAGTGTCTGTGACCCACTGTCATTTTTCTGGGCTGCCAGTGGCTCCCGCATGTCTGTGTGGTGGGCTCAGTTCTCAGTCTAAGATAATGGTAGGAAGTAGCTTTTACCTGGTGTTGCAGAGCTAGTGCAGTGTAGCAGGTAGTGCCTGTGACTCCGGCCTGCCCCGAATTGGAGCTGCTGCGAGGCCAGGCTCGGCGTTCTCTTGTGACTGACTTCTTGGTTTGGGCCTCCGAAGTAGTACGTGTGTGCTTTTTAGTGATGATCTGAGTAATACTGAAGAAAGAGATGGCGAAGGAGAGCCTTCTGTAGATCGCTGCCCCACCCAGGCCAAGTGGTTCTGGTGCCCCTTTGTCTCTGAAATAATCACCCGCAGTTGCACTGCGTGTTGGCCAGAAAAGCAGCAGTGCTGAAGCTGAGGGAGGAGCTGGCTGGTTGGCGGTGCTCGTTGGTACCAGCAGTTGGCCTGGCGCCTGTGGAGTGGGACCATCACCACCCTGCTGCCCGTGCGTGGGCTCATGAGCCACCCACTGTCCTGGCTGGGAGGAATCTGCAGGAGACAAGGGTGTGACCCAGGGGCGAGTGACTGGGCTTTTTCAGCAGGGTTCATGTGGGGCCATTTCAGCGTAGGCTTTCGTTACCATGAAGTACTCACAGGTGTCTTCTGTGTGTCCAGAACCCCCTACAACTCCATTCCCAAGTATTGCACCTGAGTGCATAGTAGCTATCTTAAATCCATTTTTGTTTGGACTTGATGTTGGGCATGGTTTTCTTCTCTTGATTATACAGAGTTGATTAGGGTTCCCTTTAGAATTGTTTCCCATGCACTATTTAAAAGACATCACTTAAATTGTTTTCTGTCTCCAGACTTGTAGCCGGTTTGCTTTGTTCCACTTGACGTTGTGAGGACTAGGGTGCTGCTGTGTATAATTCTTGCTGTGGATCCTCCAGTCATGCACTGCCATCCCAGGCTGCCTCTCCAGTCCCCTATTCCTAGAAGTGCTCCCGCGGGGAGTGCGCTGCTCCTAGTGAGCACCTGCGCTTCGGGCCTTGCCTCGTGGCTTGTGACGTGGCTGTGCACTGAGAACCACCGTCTGCTTTCTCTGTTGGTAGCGTCTGAATAGCTGATTTCGTGTTTCCCCAGATGGCAACTTGGACCCCCTCATGCCTCAGTTTTCTGTGTCGTGGAAGAAAACTGCCCTTCCCTGCGTTCCTTCTGTTATTCAGGCACATGTTCCAAGTTAGAGGCCATATTTCATGGATGCAAAAAAATAGACTCAGTTTTACTTAGACTTTTATCAATGCTCTGTTGATATGTGTTATTTCACTGAGGTCATGGGCCAGCACAGTTTAATCATGTTTCTGAGGTTGGATGCAAGTAACACTGTTACTGAATATTGTAGGGAACACCCACCTTATATCTGTGGAGGATATGTTCCTGCAAGTGGGATTAATTGGTTTCAACAAGTTCAGCTTGTTTCACTTTTGAGTCATTTGCCAAATTGCTTGACATTCCCTCCCTCCCTCCCTCCCTCCCTCCCTCCATTGGGTGTGTGTGTGTGTGTGTGTGTGAGAGAGAGAGAGAGAGAGAGAGAGAGAGAGA